CTGAGTTAGTTCCAATAACTTCCTTCCCTATAACCCCTGGATATAACCTGTACTGATATGCGTTAGGTAATGTGTGAAGGGTGGTGCTGGAGGTGCTACAAATTTAACACCCTAACTTCCTGGAGACAAAAAAACTAAAGCATAACAATAACATTTAGACGTAAAGCAAATTAAGTACATTTTAATTAGGAAAATGTAAGGGGTCGGCCCATTTACAGTTACTATATACTGTTTTTTTAGCCAATTTCCCTTAATACCAATTAATTTATCTTTCTTTTTTCCTTTTTTTTTTTTTTACCAGACACTGACATTCTTTTTAATATATTAATGTTTAACCCCACATGCCTTCTTTAGGAAGTAATGTAAAAAGCTAATCACATCCACAGATAAATGGTCTGTTTAGCCACAGTTAGCAGTGTTAAGCCGGCTTCAAGCACTGATTACAAACAGTTGCCCTGCAACAGTCCTCACATCCATCCATGACACCTCTTATTTTGAAAATTTACTGGATCCTCTTTACTCTCCCTCTATCAAACCTCCTGTTTGGCAAATCTGGTGTTAAGAGGGGGGACACAATTTGCTTAATTATGTTATTTCAAGCAAAAAACGATGTAGCCCCATCAAACGAGTCTGATGAAAATAATTTGTGGGGACTTGGACATCTTGAGGCTTTTAGAATAAATCAACCATTAAATCTGTTTGTGAGTTTTGTTCCCTGAGCATTGATGCACTTGCCCCTCCTTTAACCTCCTAAAAAAATCCTAAACTCTACCTAATACCCTTAGTAGGGGACTAAAAATATAAGGGTAGACATAATCCTCGAAAACCTGTGATGTCAGCCAGTGTTTCAGTCACATACTGTCCAGTCTACAGCTAAACCTGAGAGTGCACGACCAAAACTGTCAGGTTGGGAGGCGGTTTTAAGGACCCAAATGCAGAGATGAGTTCTGACGATTTAATTGACAGTCCAAAGGAAATAGAGGCAAAAAAATCCAAAAATACTGAGAACTAAAAAATCCAAATGGAAAACACACGTAGGGATCAAGAGACGAGGAC